AGCAGTTGAGCTCTAGTCACCAGCTGACTACAACGTAACAGATGCCAGCCTCCGAGCTGGCTGTGGTGTTGGCAAGCGCGATGACATCGCCATTTAAATTGTTGTGTGTCATACAATATGTACGTGTGTATGTTTGTATGCAAATATGGGCATACTATGTATGTACGTATATTTGTATGTGTTCATTTAGTTGTATTTTTGTTTGTGTAGAGCTTCATGAAGCCACAGGCAAACCAGATGGAAGACAAGCGGAGATCTGCCGCATTTCCAAGCACACCAACACTCGCAAACACATTTAGCCCAAGCACATACAAACATATTTACATAAAAACGTGCACACGCACAACGTGGCAGGATGACAGTGTCTCTTCGTGGCGCACATGCAACAGGAAAATCCCTTAATTGGAATAAATTAACTATTATGTGTATTATGTGTATGAACGCATGATGATGTTGATATTATTGTTGCTGCTATTGTTGTTTCTGTTGTTCTAGTTCTTACTTTTATTATTGCTTGCTGTGAAAAGCTTTTGTTGTCACTGTTGCTGGCCGCTTTATTGGTATCTATAATTGTTGCTGTTTTGTTGTTGAGTTCGCTTGCGTATACTCGCATGTTTGTACTTATGTATGTATGTATATGTATGTATATACGTATGTATCTAAATATCTGCCATAGCTATTATGCAAGTGTGCGTTTTTATGAGCCTTTGGTTGTACATTTATTGTCACATGTAACTAAAATTGTATTATGCGCTGGCTTTGTAACTTTTAGAGCTCTCTTTGGATGACTTTTTGCGCAAGGATATGACGGTGCACTTAGAAAAATCTTTGAAAGAAAAAATATTTAATATTAAGGCTGAAAATGCAGAAATGAGAATTAAGTTCGATTTTTTTTTATTAAAACTTCTCACCAAAATCTTTTTATTACAAAAAAAAAAAAAATTAAAAATAAAAAATAATAAATTAAAATAAAAAAAATAAAAATTAAAAATAAAAAATATAATTAGTTTCTTAATATTCAATAGTAACGAAGTCAAATTTTTCTCAGTGTATATCATTCATAATTAAAAATATCCGCAATACATTCCACACATGGCAAACAGTAAACACATGGTTTTGAAGTCAAGCAAAATCTCTTTCTGGAAACTCTACCATATGGATTCGCATTTTCATTAGACACAAATGACGGGCAAGAGCGTAACTTATGTATGTATGTACGTAGCATAAAGTATATCGCATGCACTTATACTACATTTGTCTCATACTCCGTGCAGATTTGCGTCTTAACCCCCATTTGGCACATCACCTTTTTTCACAAGGAATAAATACTTGTGTTTATGTACGTATGTGTTTCAGACAAAAAGTAGCGTGAAATGAAAATTAATGCACTCACGAAACAAAATGTCTTTGCAAAGTCGACACAAAATTCAAAAAAATAAGAACGAAATAGAAAAAACAGTGAAAGACGAGTTTACATTTGCAACAACGTGATATACAAATTGTGGTAAACTCCACCGAGATATGGAAAATAACACCTAGATGAAGAGAAGCAGCAACAACGCACAACACAAACAATAACTACAATGTGAAGTGGTAACATTGCAACGATATCACCGTCACACATCATATTTCACACACCCAAGAGAGTAGACAGAGGCTCGTGGTTAGGCGTGGAGTGTGCGATAAGACCTTATCCATATGGGATGTGACACAATTGGGAGTTACAATAATATACATATGTATATAAGAGTATGTACATACATATGTAAGGGATCGACGGAATTTCGTGAATGTAAACTTGTAACAAAAAAAGAAGGGGATTTCAATATTTTTCTTTACTTTAAAAATAAAATTTTTCTTTTTTGCAAAAAAAAATTAATAAAATAAAAAAAAATTTGTAATTAATCGTTGGGAAATTTTAACTTCCCAAAAGAAAAAAAAATATGTTTATTGCCATTTAAAATAAACTTAAGATTCACCTAACTAAAGGTTTAATAAATTATGACATTTCAAAAAGTATTTTCTGCGAAATTTCCTCTAAATTAGGTTTTCAAAAAATCGAAAATAGCTTAAAACACAGCCTTACTTACAGTTATTATATTTCGAAAGGTTGTGTTTGCCAAAAGTGCGTGCACATAAATTACAATTAATGAAAAAGGGACACGTCCAAGCATGACCCCTCACAAATAAAGGATTAGGTCAGAAGATAAGTTGTAAACTTACATGATAGGTATAATATGTAAATATGTATGTATACAGAATATGTAAATGAAAATGGGCATACTAAATATAAATACGTATCAACGCACAGTTTACATGCTTTCATTTGAATTATTCGCATTGGCAGGGTAGCAAGTTAATTGAGCTGGAAGTATTCAAAGCTTATATGCATAACAAACATACATACATAAATATATTTATGTACTTACATATATGAGCATATATGTATTAGTGGATATGTGCATAATATCATATACTAGCATATCGCGTTCATAGCTTGAAATAAACCTTTTTACGGAGACAATAACGTCCATGTAAGCCAGAATTTTTTGCTCCATCCGAAAAAGTGTCGGCGAGCATTCAAAGTTTCCCACATAAATTTCACATAAAAAATTATTTTTTTTTATTAAAATCATCATATTATAATGTACCGCTTAAGGTAAAATCATTGCGGAACGGATTTTTGTAGAGCCTAAAATTTTTCTGCTTTTTGAAGTCAATAATTCGTATATTTATAAGTTTTCCAATAAAAAAAAAAATAAAAATAGTCAAATTATTCAGTTTTGGTGAGACCTTTTCACTTTTCAGCAAAATTTTATTTAAAAAATATATCAAACTCTGAATGCTCACCGACACCTTTCAAACTTGAGTAAAAATATTTGTTTTGCAGAAAAAAACTTCATTTTAACCTAAAAATATAATACATTAGAATTAAAAAAAATATATAAATTTTTTTAATTAAAAAAGTGTCTTTTATATTTGATTCGCTTATAACTAATTATTAATTCCATTTAGTTATTTAGTTATTTATTCTTGCACGAATTAAGTAATTTTAACAAATTTTTATCACAAAATATAAAAAAAAATATTATCTCTACCAGCCAGCGATACATACATACATACATATATGTATGTACATACATACTTTAACAATGTGTAAATGAACACGCATTCATTTTGTAAGGTTAAATTTAACGGTTTCGAAGTCTTATCAGCAATTGCGGCGTTGAGTATACAATTATAGAATAGATAAGGGCAACAGCGGTCGCGTCGCTGAATAAACCGACAGTTATGAATGTGGGACGCGAGACGATTATGTTTCTATGTTCATATGTGGCAATTTAAGCGTTCGTCAAACATGGAAAAAATATGGAATGTTATAAAGCAGTATATATGTATGTATGTTTGTGTACATATTTATGTGTAAAAACGCTTGTGGTAAATAACAAACGTTTGCTTTGATATGGAAATTTTTAGAGCCTAATCGCTGGGCTGGGACAAAACCGCAACATCCGTTTTTCATGGAAAGAAATTTCATATAATTAAGAAAAGAAAAAAAAAAACCTTATTATTAATATAAAACTATGCACCATTTAGATTAAATAACGTCTTAAAAGTTTTTTCAGTTATTTTCTTAAATGTTTAGAGCAGGCTTCGGCAGTTTGAAATCATTTTGGGAATTTTGGGAATAATATAAAATTTCTTTCCTATATAAATAATAAACAAAAATTGTTAAGGCATTATAAGCTGTTTTTTTTTTTCCATAAATCCCAATGTATGCCAAAATAAATTGAAATATGAAAAAAATTCATAAATTTCGTTGCAGATTATTTAAAATATTTTTTTTTTAAATAAAGTTATTAAAATTACATAAGCGGAATTATCAAATTTTTTCTCAAAGCCCTTTTTTCTATTTTTTTTTTTTTTTGTAAGTTTTATTGTTGCAGGAACGGCAACATCAAGCATAAAATTCTTCACACTTTCAGTAACCCAATAAAACTCACATCAAGTCAAGTGAAATGCTACCAAAAACAATCAAACATCATAGCACAACCCAATTATTGGAGACACCAAAAAATATTATTTTCAATTTATTTTAATTTAGGCCAAAAACGCAAATAATTACAAGCTGATAAATATGTGCGTACATATACATTCACATACAAATTTATTTAGAAAAATATTTATAAATTTTTGTATACAAAAAATTCTAAAATATTTTACTTAAAAGCGACCCAACCGTATGTGGGGGCACATAACCCCTTTTTTCATGCATATGTACATATACACATATACATACATACATACATATACAACTATAACCCCACAATCCTACGCTAACGCAAATGAATTTACTCGCTTAACGATTTTGGAATCAATTTGAATTTGAATTGAGCGTTGATGGTGGCGGCATTGGCGGAAAAAAATACATGCAATACATACACACAGTATATGTGTGTGTGTGTGTAGGATTGTGAAAAAGCTGAAAGCGCTTATTTTTCCGTGCCAGTTTCTAACAGCACGCATTTATGTACATACACATATGTATATGTATGTACATACATGAGGCAACGAACGTATGTTTGTATGTACATATATTTTGTAAATATGCAGATATCAACAGTTCGCTCAAGTTTGGAATGTGGCGGCGTACAAACACGCTCGCCTTTCAATTAAATTCTATTGAAGACAATTAAAAGTATCTCGCAGATACCCCAGCCAATACCGGCAATACAACAATAAAGGTACCTACATACAACATATGTATGTGTGTACATACATACATGAAAGGAATTTGAACGAAATTGAATGAAATAGCGGCACAATAACGCATCTGCATGGCAGAGTAGCCGTTAGCTCGGCGAGTCTATGTACATACATATAATATGTATGGATGTGTGTGTATGCACTTGCACAGGCAAAGCAGATTCAATGATGATGTATGCACATACATACATACATATGTACATACGGAAAAAGTGAATAGTTTTTTAAATTACCGTTACTTGCATGACGCACTGGCGCGCCATCGATGACGAAGCTCACGAAGTCGTCGGCGACGTCGTCGTCAAGGGCGTGCAAATACCAGGAACATGAACTTTGCTGTTGTCTACATGTCGAAAGCAAGCACAAGTGCTAGTATATACATATGTACATATATGTATATGTTAAATGTCCTTTCCAATTTATCCTTTCAGCATGTGTTAGGTATACTATAAACTTTACAATTGTTTTTCTTAAATTTCACGATATCGTCTCTCTCCTTTCAAACATTTAAGATCTTTTATTTACGTATGCACATACATATGTATGTACACAAATATGAAATTCCACATTATTTACATATTTCGCTACTTAGTTTTTATTAATTGTTTGATAAATATCACAGATCTCACGCGCTTCTGTTTATTCTCACAACACGAATTTTCTTTTTCTTTTACTATTTTAAATGAATTTTTTCACGCTCAACACTTTGTCCGTTTTTATTTTCATTCTTTGTCCACCCTGCGCCGCCTTCCGCAAACAGAAAATAAATAAATAACTTTCGTGCTCGCAATGTCAATGTTTAATGTTGGGACGATTTGGCAGCGCCAAACAACACGCTCCCAATTGCACTTTTCTTCCTTTCGCCACCGCTGTACGCGAACAACTGACGGACCTCCGCACAATTCGTTGCTGGCGCTCCAAAGCCAGCGAAGAACAAGAAATATTTTATTTTGTCATTCACAAAGGAAAATCATGATCCACACAACAACAATAAAGCACAATAAAAACAAATACGCAAAGAAAAATTTAGCTCGGCATTCACACTGCCGCCTCGCGCTATCGAAGTACGCAATGAGAGTGCCTCGCAGTCGTCGTTGCTTTCATCGCCAGCATATTGTGATTATCATTATTGCTGACTTGGCTAAGTGTGTGAGATACCCGCCCTCTAGGAATGAAATCAATAGTTAATACTTCTGTGGCATTCACAGCGAACAGATGTTGAAGTTGTTGGTATTGCTTTGGCCCCCCCGTAATGCAAGTACAAGAAGAAAGCTGAACTTAAACGAACTTCTCGCGTTTTGTGAATTAAAACTATAACTCGAAAATTTTGCAAATTTTGAACCTATTGAAAAAGAAATATCCCAGTAGTTAGGAAAAATACTTAAATACCCAAGCGCTCAATCCTATCCATAAGACTTTATAGTCCAGTTTAAGTTTTTATAAACTCATCGATAGCTTCTGTAAAATAGAGAAAGAACCGATTTGATCATATTCGGGAAACCACTTTTTCTGATATTCTGCACACTTATGATGATTTATATATTAAAATGAAATTTGTTAGCATTCATTTGTCAATTAGACATTTTTCACCGAAAATCATCGAAATCGGAGTCCTATATCTATAGCCCCCAATACATATACACATACAAACTACCTTTGACAGCGAAAATCATAAATTTTTTCAGATATGAGAATAAATACTTAAACACATTATGAAAAAACATAAATTTGATATGAAAGTTAAAAAGACTTTGGCTGAAGACATCATTTTTTGTCGTTTTCTATTATAAAATAAAAACGTTTGATTAAAAATTTCCAACTGGGTCGCTATGATGAATCTACACAGCTATCCGTTCGTCACACAGTCGTTTCCGAATCCCATTCACTTCTACGCTTCTTTGTTCCGTTCGTAAAAGGCGAGCATTCACGTACACGTATGTATATACATTTACACACATATGTGTATGCATGTGTGCGTGCTCCGTGCAATTGGGCTTATCTCAAACGTGGTGTTGCTGCGGTCGACGAGCTGTGTGTTTGCGTTATGAGCATTTCAATTCGAAAACGCAAAACCAATACAACGCGGTCGCTGGCAGCGTTCACGTTATCACTTGCTACGTCGATGCCGGCAGCTCTGCTGACAGCAGTGATGACGCAGTTCTTTGCTGTTACGCCACTTTTAAATGCTTGCTTGTTGCTTCTTGTCTTTCAGCGGGATTGTTGTTTGTGTTTTTCTATGTTTGCCTCGCGTTCTCGTTAACATTTTTCATTACATTTGTGAATTCTCTGCTTTTACTTCCTGTTGCTGAAATTGTTTTAAATGTTTGTATGTGTAAGTGAGTGTGAATGTGTCCTTCTTCGTGACAAGTTTCGCCACTTTTTACTTAACCTACACTAATCCGAATTATTCCATACCAATTAGATATATAAATACAGTTGAATGTACATACATACTCGTACAGGCAATGATTTACAAGAAAAAAGAGCTGCCCTCGGCTATAACGAAGTTTTAAGCCCTCCATGAATGTGGTCTAATTTTCACTTCGGGAATTGGGAGAGTTATAATTCATAATTGCATAGCTGCGTAACCGACAATTGCAAAGCAACCCTACATTATTACGCGTTCCTAAATGCAACTGTGAAAATTTTGATGATGCATCATGTCTAAAATGTATCGGTAAAGTTATCGGTTGCTTTGTAATGTTGCGCTTGCCCAACGGCATGATTACAAAGTATTAAATTTCAAGTCCTTAGATGAGCGATTTCGGGTTAAGAAACCGTCAAAATTCTTAACCCGAAATCTCTCATCTGAATAATCCGGTTGTATGCGAGCTATAAGTGTTAGTGGTCCGATCTGACCAGTTACGGCAATCGGGGATTTGAACCCGAACCTTCCGAATGGCAGTACGCAATGCTGACCACTCGGCTACCGCGACAGTCGTCATAGGTTTAAACAAATAAAGATGTATGATACACACTATGCACATAAAAGACAGTTGACTTGCTACTCCGGTTAGCTTGACAGAGGCTTCGAAGTTCTCAAAGTACGCCAGTGAAAAAAGTAAATATTGCGCATTTACATATATATGTATTTATAAAAACAAAAAATTTTATAAAATACAATTTTATGTACATATGTGAATATCTATTTACATATACATATGTATATGTATATAAATTAATATGAATATATATACATACATACATATGTACATATCTCCAATCATTACAACAGCATGTCAACAACATGTGCTGTCCAAATGTTTTTGTTCTTGCTGGTTTAGCTGTCAAACACTTTAGAACATTGTCTTTGCTCATATAATGTGTGTATGTATGTACATATGTACATATGTATGCAAGCACAGACTTGAAAACGTAAATATGTAAGTATTTATGTAGCTATGTAGCTATGCAGCTATATTTGCAGTTTCGCCCTTACACATGTTAGCAGATTTGTACATGCATGCATATGTTTGTATGTACATACATATCAAGATATTTCGAAACAAATTTATTTATAGTCGATAGCAAAAATGTCAAAATGTCCTGTTGAGTATTTGAGCTACGATTTTATGTACAAATCCATGTATGCATTTGCATCGCAGCCTTAAGATTTACTAAATTCTTAAACTGTTCCTCATTCAATCTGCAACGATTAAATTAATTTCCAGTTACTTTAGTCAGCCGCAAGTAAATATGCATATGAACTAAAAGATTTATATACATATGTAGGTATATACTATAAACATCATCAAATAAACAAAACTAAAAGGGATTCGATTCGCTTGTGAGACGAATTCGTTGTCTCTGATATGGACACCGAGACGATATTTCGCGGGTATAGACAGATAGAGCCACTGAGAATTCGAGAATAATTTTCTAAAAAAATTATATTACAAAATGAAATATTCGTTTCAAGAAACAACCAATTATGAGTTTCTGATCCATTTAGTTACAATTAAATCACGATATAAAAAATTGTATTTGTTTAATTTTCATAATTTTCATAATAAATAAACAATTTTTTTAATTGTGTCTGGAAGACAATTTGAATAAAAATCTTTTCGATTAAGTTTTCGAGCCTAAGCGAGCATTCTCCAAGTCGTCTCCAGTGGAAAAGGAATGCGTTTTTTGTGCTCATTGGGTATATTGTGCGCACATACATATATTGTACACGCATACGTACATAGCATGTATGTACATGTTGTAATTACTTCCGATTATTAATGAAAACATTCAATATTTATTTATTTATTCTTGCATGCAAATGCCAATTCCTTAATTGTTAGGAATGTAATTAAAAATTGATATGTAAATAAGTTACCGTTATTGTTGAATCTTAAGTATTTAATAAATGGTAAATAGTTAAATATAGTTTTTCTTTCAATGCAATTTTCAGAAAATATTTGCATATTTGAATGCATAAATACATACATATGCACATATGAACGTACATACATACATACATAGGTATTAAGTAAGTAGTATGTATAGAATTTGTAAAGAAATTGAGTAATATTTAAATTTTATTTTCATACATACATATGTACTTAATAATGTACATACATATACATATGTTTAAAATTGAATGCTTGATTGCGTACATTGTTATTTTGATTTAGTCCTAAAACATCAAAATTATTACATTACACAGACATACATATATAAATAAATTAATGTTTAAAAAAAATATATATATTATAAATAGAAATTATTTCATAATTTTTATTAAAGCTTTGTACTCACCATTTTCTGATTTCACAAAGAATAAAATTCTAAAAAGATAAAAAAATAATTGTAGAATTGTTAATACGATATGTACGCAGGTCAACCGAGAAAAATTTAGAATAAATATATATGTAGCTACATATTGTAATAAAGAGTGGTTCCAGAGACGAGCGACGTCACGATGATCTTTCATCCCGGTACAAATGAGATAAAAACACGATTATCTCTAAAGACTTTAAACTTTTCCAATCTTAAGTTGACAATTCTTCCTTTAATTTATTTTTAACTGCAAACGAAATTCAATTCCTGCTCATTTAATATTAAAATTTCACCAGGGGCAAAAAAATCTTTGATAAAGATTAAAAACTGGTTTTGCTATGAATCTGCGCAAAAAACAATGTTTAATTCCCACTTTATGAATTTTTAGCAAAACATTATATTTTACCTGCCAAGTAAGCCCCCAAAGAGGTAAAGCTGATTTTCAACCTCCCACACAAGGTAGGAACGTTTGTTTGAAGGATTTTCTTTGATATTTTCTAAGATTTCATTTTAATTTTTATAAAATTTTTAAACCTGTCACATATAGACCCGTAAATGTCTCATAATAACTTTCAAAAAAGGAAAAAAAACTGCAGAAACCCTTCTCAAAAAAATTAAGTAAACAGCTGAAGGCAAACAAAGGCACCCGCCAAATGAGGCGAAACACCCGAGCTGCGTATCAACCATGAAATTATGCGATAATTAATTTTTTATGCACACAAAGAGCATAAAACAATGAAAAGAGGATGCGAATAAAAGCAAATGCATACAAAGTGGGTAGAGGTAGAGACAAGGGGGGGTGAAAAGGAGTAGCAACGCGTAGAAACAGTCAAAGAAAAGCTGAAGCTCAAACGAAAAAAACGAAATGAAAAAAAAATATTAAAAATACCGCAGTTATGAGACCAGTTAATGCGAAGGGTGGAATGACTTCCGAGTTCTCATTTTTTTCTCAATTTTTCCATTGATTTTCGCTGGTGTTTTAATGCATCACTTTTGCCTGTTCTCTTATTAATTTCACGTTTTTTATGAAATGTTCGATTGCATTGTTCTTTTGTGCCGCGAAATGCATTAATATGCCGTAGTTGGTGCGGCCCTGAATTTATGCTGAGCCAGCATTTTAGCAAATCGTTCCGTTCAGCGTTGAAGTCCTTCAACATCGTTGAGCTGTCAACATTCTATTTTCCGCCTTTAATGCTTTTTTTTTAGCTCATTTGTTCTATTGCATTTTAGCGAAACGCAAAGTCAGCGAACCAAAGAGAT